AGCGTACGATTACGATATTAGAACTAACATGTAACGTTTCGGAGTGATAAGGAGAATTTAAATACCTATCATGGATAAAGGTTTAAATCCACCTAATTTGGCGTATAGATCATAATGGCAAGAACCCGAAGTGGAGCTGGAAATGTAAATAGAAATCAGCAACCTCAACCCCAAGTGATGGAACAGGTGCCTATAGCAGGAGCTGCACCAGAACCCATCACCATGGCTGGAGTACAAGCCATGATTCAGACAATGATGGATGAACAAAGGGAGGAAATGAGGCAAATATTGATGAACAACAGGAGTGAACCCTCAATTCCTGTTGAACAACGTGAATTAAATGATGATCGATCTGAAGAAGGAAACAACAGTAGATCTGTTGGTCATAGTGAACCGCTTGTGGTTGGGAGAAATAACCACGAGGATAGAGTGGAGAGAAATGGGTGCAAGTATAAAGACTTTATGACTTGCAAGCCATCAACCTTCACTGGAAAGGAAGATCATGTCGGAGTAATGGATTGGATCTCGGAAATGGAATTGGCTTTCATGACCTGTGGTTGCCAATGCAAGTTACAAACCACATTTGCAGTGCGTCAGTTCAGGGGTAGTGCTGCTCGTTGGTGGAACACTCTAGGGAAAACCCTAAGCCCTAATGAGCCACTGCAACTGACTTGGGCAGAGTTCTTGGTGCACTTCAAGCGCAAGTACTGCTCGACCCAAAATGTGCTTGAGCTAGAAAACCAATTCCTGACATTGAAGAAGGGAAGTATAACCATTGATGAATATACCAATAACTTCACAGACAAAATGGAGTTTGCTTTGCGTATTGTCCCAGATGAGTTGACGAAAGTAGACAGGTATGTAAAGGGACTTCCATGGGAGTATGCAGTGCCAGTGCGTCAAGCACTTACTTTGGAGGCGGCTATCTGGGTTGCCAAGTCTGTAGAAGATATGATTAAGGGAAGAGCCGCCAACAAGATCAAAGTTGGCGAGAAAAGAAAGTTTGAAGGGACTTCAGGGTCCAACGAGAAAAGAAAATTCTCGAAGTCTGGAGGAGGAGGAAGCGAAGCAAAATGGTGCGAGAAGTGCAAAAAGAAGCACTTCGGGAAATGTAGCGAAGAGGTGACCTGCTACAAGTGTGGGAAGACTGGGCATTATGCCAACGAGTGTCCGTCCAACAAGAGGATGTGCTATGGATGTAATGAGGAAGGGCACATTTTGAAAGACTGCCCAAAGAAGAAAGAGGAAGCAAGGCCCAATGTTCCACCAAAACCAAAACCAAAGGCATTCCAAATGATCCTTAATGAAGCAGATGGAAATACAAGGGATCAGGAGTAAGGACCTTATATTCCCAAAACTAAGACATAAAGTAGCAATGCAGTTAGTAAGTTGTGGTGTAGCCTATTAGAGGCGTAGTATAGGGTAAACTTGAACCTCTGTGTAATTATTTCAAGAAATAATATAAACCCTGGTTTTGTCATCTGATGAATTGAATGACTATGTGAAATTCTTGTATGGTGACTTGGAGAACTGCGAGACAATACTTGGGACGAATATGAGTAGGTGTGAATGGTAGTAGAGGCCTATACTACCGGAAGCATAGGACTCGTACTTGGATCAAGGAAAGTCACAAGGTTACCAAGAAGCTAGAAATTGATTCTGTTATTGTTCGATTATTTCATTACCTTCGTTTCGGTAATGACTAAGAAGATGATTGTTATTCCGACCCTAGAGGTCATATCAAATTGAGTCCGACTAAGATAGGTATGTTACGTGGTTCGGGAAAGTTGAGTCCAAGGTTTATTGGACCGTTTAAAGTTCTTCAGAGGATTGGGAATCAAGCTTACAAGCTAGAATTACCAGAAGAACTAGAGGGTATTCATAATACCTTTCATGGATGTTATTAGAGAAAATTCAGGGGAGATGTGCCCGACATAATTTCCATTTCTGAATTAAGGTTGGATGAAAACAAGAGGTTAATTGAAGAACCTGAGGTAATCGTTGACCGTAAGACTAAGAAGTTGCGACGCAAGATGGTCGATTTAGTGCTTGTGCGTTGGAAACATACGAATGGGCCAAATCTCACCTGGAAAACGGAGAGCGACATGATGAGTCGCTACCCGTATTTGTTTGCTGATGTGTGATTCCGGGGATGGAATCATTCTAAGGGGGAGAGAATTGTAACGCCCGTGTTTCTAGGCTAGGCATTAATATTGATATAATAGTCTAGGTTAACCTTTGTAACTCATTTTGAAGAAATGAAGAGGAATTATGTGACTATTATGTGAATTATGCGTTTTATGCTTAATTATTAGGATTTAATTAATTAAGAAAAAAATGAGGGTCGAAAATAAATATTAGATAAAGCTGATATCTATTAAGAAAGTTGTAGTGGTCGTGACAAGGATTACGGAATATAAAGAATACCGAAATCCGAGTTATAACGAAGAAGTTATGACATGTCGAAGTTTCGCGACAAAACCGACACGGTAACGAATGACGTAAAAAGTGATTTTTTGATAAACTACTTTTTAGCCTTAGTGATCTAAACGAAACTCGTAGTGTTCGTTAAACCGAGACTATGTATAAAAAGAACGTCCAAATCTGACTTGGTATGAGGAAGTTATGATTTTTCTAAGTTTCAGCTTAGCAGTAGACAGCTAAAAACTCGAATTTTAGATCGAGTGATTTTTAGCCGACACAACCTAAATGAGAATCGAAGGTCTCGTCAATAGTAGTACAACGGTAAAAAGACAGATGAAAACGGACGTCGGATGAAGAAGTTATGAATTTTTAACGGATTTCCTGTCCCGGTCTGTTAAAAATAATAATATAAAAATCAAAGTCAAAATTAGCCGACGAAGTCTAAACGAAAGTTGTAGAGCGTAATTTTACCTACGCGTTCATATAAAGAACGTCAAAAACGAAGCTCGTATGCGAAAGTTATGGATTTTCGAAGTTTTTGCACAAAAATCAAGAAAATTCGCATAGTCATGCTTCGGCCACGTCACCTTCGCTCCATGCGTACCACGTGTCCGAAATTGCTGAGTCATCCGAAGCCGTGGCCCATCCGAGGAGTGACGCGTGTGCAGCCTCATCCGAGCCTCGCACCACCTGCCGCGTGTCCGACCTTCGCACCACCTGTCTCCCTTCCCTCTTGCTTCGGATCCGAACCTCGGACCTAGACTTCGGTCCAATCAGAGGTCAGCAGCTGGACCCTCGCACGTGCGACCCATGTGCCTCCTCTTCGGATCTGCTGCCACCTGGTAGCTTCTCAGCCGTTGAATCAGAAGCCTCGCACCTATAAATAGAAGGGTGCGAGACCTCCCGGGTATATTTTGGAAACTTGTCATTTTACACCCCTAAACCCATATTTCTTTCATTCCAACTTCCCCCAAAGCCCTGGTATTATACCAAACACCCGAAATACGCCCCAAAGTGCCCGAGAAGATCCGGAAAATTTTATCTTTTCGGTTTTGAAGCCCGACCCTCGCAAAGCCCGGTTTCTCAATAAAACTCCTGGTTTTATTAGAAACGATCGTTTTAGGAAAATACGTGCTATGTGTATATATGTTGTTTGTTTTATATAAAATACGTGCTATGTGTATATATGTTGTTTGTTTATTTGAAATGGATGTTGAATGGATGTTTTATACATGTTTAAAATAATTTAAAATGTATATATATTTTATCTTCAAATATGTTGGGTAAAACATGGGTAGATAAAGAATGAGGGATAAAAGTACAGTATAGATGTACGTTGGTAGCTATGAATTTAGTACAATATAGATGTACGCTGGTAGCTATGGATTTAGTACGTTGGCAGCTAAGGACTTAGTGCCTGTTGTATAAACCTTGGCGACGATGTGACTTCGTGCCTGTTTGACATAAATTGCTGAGGAAAAGCAGTGTTGTCAGCGCGATGTTTGTCTTGTTTGACATAAATTGCTGAGGAAAGCAATGTTGTCACCTTATTGGTTGTTTTATGTCAGGTTGTCTTGTTTGACATAAATTGCTGAGGAAAGCAATGTTGTCACCCCATTGGTTGTCTTGTTTGACATAAATTGTTCAGGAAAGCAATGTTGTCACCCCATTGATTGTCTTATTTGACATAAATTGTTGAGGAACCTCCGAAGCAATGTTGTCCCCCTAATGAAAATCCTTACGCTAGGTCCCTTGTGATAGTTGTTTTAGGGACGTAAAGTGAGGATAATGGGAATGGGTAATTAGGGTTATTTTTGGTTGATGAAATTAATAAAAATTATTGTTGGTTGATGAACTTAATAAGTTTATTACGTATTGTGGGTTGAAAACCCTATATGCTCACCAGGCTCCCAAGCCTGACCACTCAGCCTTTTTATCTTACAGGTAGTGGACTCCGAGCATAGTCAGATGATGATGAGAGATTTTTGGATTATAGGCCAGTAGTTGTACATAACTGTTGTAAGGATTATAATGTCTTGTTTATGCTTATGATCTGTATCGGAACATGACATCCCGAGATTTTGATATAAAATGAAAATTTATATTTTTAAAGAAAGGTTTTGATAAATTTTTATCATGTTTTTCTTTGGGAACAAACTCCACAACATCTTTTAAAAGGATTACTTTGATTTTATTTTAAAAAGTATAAACGAAATCGATCTTTTCTGGCCGTGAAATTGGGGATGTCACATTATTATTGTATAAGTCGTGGTTAATGATATGGGAAGTGAAGTCGGAATTTGAGTCGAACTTACTTTCCCAACAACAAACCCTTTCTCATAATCTTTTGCGGAACCAACTCCTCCATATCCTTTCTCTCCCCCCTTGTGACACTTGTACCGCCCGTTGAACATTAGTTGGAAATCGAAGAACCAACTCCAAGATTGGAGCAAGCTCTAACTTGATATTGGTCTCAATAGTCGAAATCAACTAAGAAATAGAGTCTTGAGAAACTGATGACTGGTTTGAAAGAGTGGCATTCGAAATGGACTCCTTGATACTAGATAAGAATTCTTCTAGCTTTTAAATACATGAGAACCCTTTTCTGAATTTGCTTCAAGTTTGTGTGAATACTCAATGTTGAACTCAACCAAGTTAGTGATAGCAGTCGCAAGGACATCGTCTTTGCTATGCAACAAACTATATTTTTGCTCCATCTTCTGAACTTCTTTTGACATCTCAGATTTTAGTTCGACAACTTTGAGATCCACATATTCCTTCATCTTCGTTACTTGATCAACAAAATTTTCATGACGTTCCTTTGCAATATAATGAAGCTTCTGAATCTCGTAGTCAAAGCTCTTGGAATGAATAGCGAACCCTTCGGCTTGTTTCTGTTCAATGCTTTCAACAAAGCTTTGAAATCGATTTTCTTGAGATTTCAACAAATACTCCATCTCGACCACAGTAACGAAATTCCTTCCCCCAATATCTACTTGTATTTGAAGAAAAGAATTTATTTTGTATTTGAGGATTTTGAATTGTTTACCTGAGATAATCAAATCATCAGGAACATTTTCCTCCTCATGATCGAATTGAAGATCAACAAAAGACACCAAGATCTCATCATCATTAGGTTCTTCATCATTGATCACCATCTCAGCTTCATTGGATTGAGAAGATAAGAGAGTGGTAATTGGTTCATGAATGATCGTGGAGTATGTTGGTGAGGTGGTTGAAACTGGAACTGAAATTGTTAAAGGTGATGAAATATGTGGTAAAGCTATGGAGGTTTTAACTGTAGAAGTTTCAAGTGTAGATGAGATGATGGTTGAAGTGGGAATGGTTGAAGTTTCAAAAGTAGAAGTAATAAAGGATTTGTTGTTCTGCACCCCTTCAGCCATGTTGATATTTATGTCCTTATCAGATAATGTCACACCCCTAAACCGAGATGACGGAAACATTCGGGGGTGGAGGACGTCATGTACAGTATCATAACAATGCATAATAGTAAAACAAGCAACAACATCCATTGCATTAAATAGAATAGCTAATACATGTGTGTTCTGTGAGTAGTTATAAGACACCAAAAATTATATCAAAATAAAAGACGAGTCTTGAACATGCCCCGTCTTCTCAAAACCTGTTCCAGTGTACCTGTCTACTGGTGACCTGAGAATACAAGTTATTTTGAAAGAGTGTATCAACATAAAAGTTGAGTGAGTGCATAAGTATTTAATGTCAATGGTTTGTATTTGTTTCATGAAAATGTTTGTGTTTGTTTAGTAAAATGTTTGTATTTAACCCAGAAAATCCTATATTTTCTTCTAAAAGTGAAATGTAGTCTTCTACCCAAGACCCGACTATTTAGTATGTTTGTTCTCTTGAAAAATATATGTTTGTACTTGAATTTGTATAAAATGCAAGTTTTCCATATTTATAAGATAAGCTATGATGCATTAACTACCTTTTAACCAAAATGGTTGATTTAGGTTAAATGTGATTAGGTTATAACCATGCTTGATTGACTAGTATAAAACACGACGTTCTTCAGGCGTCGAAAATGGTATGACATTTGTCACCCGTAGACCTGCAGGTCCCACTGTAGCTAGCAGCAAGGTGTGGGATGGTCAATCTCGTATAGATCTATACACAAAATCACGCTCTCCCTCCAGGAGACTCTGGTTACAAAACGTGACATAACAAGAATATTGCTATGCCAAGAAATAGTATCTCACATTTTATTTATTTGTTCTTGTTATAGTATATATGTTCCTTCTTATTCTTGTTATAGTATGTATGTATTGACTCATGTATGTTTCTCTGATCTAGAATTTGTTTGTAGATACTGACTCATGTATGTTTCTCTGTTCTAGAAATAGTGTGTAGTGACCCTCTAAACTATACCTATTATAGTTTACTAGCATGTATCTTTGACTGTTACTGATTTGTAGAAAAGACTCAATTGTTCAACATAAAAAACTGAGTTAAGTATGTTCCTTAAAAACGAGGGTTTAAATATTCATGTATATATTCAATAAGTATAACTATGATTTAGCCGACAGTCAGACTAGTGATCCTACCCTAAGCCCACAACCAAACAAGGAACAGGAGTCAGGGTATTTCGCAATAGTCCTGAGTCCGTTAAAGCATACTTATATGTAAATAGATACACGAATATGATTTTGATAATAAAAGCAATCTAAAATAGTTTAAAATAGTTTTTAAAATGATTTTAACAACAATAATAAGCATAAGAAATCCTTTTGTTTGACGTTTTCACATGCAAGTGTTTAACACAATTATATTGTATTCTACTTGTATTCTCCCCCTAAAAGCATTTTAAAAGCATTTAAAACTGTAATTTGTAGGGGTATGAACTCACCTTGTGTGAGTGATACGATTGAATGTTCGATATAGGATGATTGATTCACAAGCTAGTTCCCGGGACAAAACAAGTCCTAAATAGCAATTTTTGCAACATAATGGCATTTAATTAGCAATTATAACCTATAAGGCATTAGGTAAACAACTTATGATGCAAGAAACACGTACAAATGAAGTGTTAGAAGCAAAGATGGGAGGCTGTTAGGAGTTCACGGCCCAAGAAGGGTTCACGGCCCAAACTTCTTGATGAATGATGAAGATTCAAGTGTTCTTGGCCTAGAAATCCCTAGAACAATGATGAAATGATGAACACCTTGAAGATCCAAGCAATATTCTAAGGAGATTTGAAGGTTTGAAAGATGATACTTGAGAGAGAAATGTGGGAGTTCACGGCCAAAATTGAAGAAGTGAAGTAGAAATCAACTAACTCTTGTATATATAGGAAGGGAAGGTTCACAGACCAACCGAGGTTCACGGCCCGAAGGCTGTTCACGGCCCGAGGCTTCGGTCCAAATGGTTTTAAAGGCTATCCTTCCAGAATACATAACACTTAAGAATGCTAGATCCAAACACTTTTAGTTCTTTCATCTAACTATATTAAGATATTAAAAGAAATAAGTTTGACCCTTGATTGAATGTTTGACTTTAGTTGACCAAGTTTGACTTTTACAAGAAAGAAATTTCGGGTTGTCACAGATAAGTCCATAGTGATGTCTGGAGTTCGAACCTCCTCTGTATCGGACTTAGTTGGCGAAACCTCGGGTGGTATGACCTTAGTCTTCTCAGGGATGGATATGGATGGTTGATCATTCGAATTGATGTTTGTATTTGTATGAGATACGTGTATAGTGACATCAGGATCCCCTATCGCCTCGAAATTCAACTTGAGAGGAGAATCCCTTCGAGGTGATCCAAGCACAAAATCTTCTATGAGAATATCAGATCTTCCACTATCACTGTCGTTATCGGATTCGACTATGACTTGGTCAAGTGGATCATGGTGCTTTTGTTTATCCCATTGCAACTTCTGAGCCATATCCAGGGCTTGACGCTTCTTCGACGCAGGTGAAAAAAGAACAGATACTTCTCTTAACAAAACTCATTTCCTGTTGAACTGAGGCTTTCGAATTTTTTTAATACCATTCCGAGAAGAATGAGTATGTGAATAATCAACATGCGTTTGCTCAGTAGCTTCAATTTCTAGGCCTTGAACAGATTGCTTGACTAGGGAATCATTGGGTTTCTTTGTTGGTTTCTTTGTACGCTTGAGAATTCCAGATTTCAAAGGAATAATTTCTTTCGTAACACCATCCTCCACTGTTGGTGGTTTCTCAACTTGCTTCTTCTTCTTTGGAGCTTTAGAAGTTTTAGAAGAACCTTCATCCCCTTTCGATGGAAGAACACCAATAGATACAATTGATTCAATAGAAGCTAAATATTGCACAAGAAGCGGATTTTGAGGGTCAACTAACTTGAGCATCGCATCAGGAATATGAGCAACAGTAGGAAATACGGGTGGATCATCAACAACAATCCTTGGAGTAGCCATAGTCGAAAACTCAGCAATTTCAACATTAGATGGAACTAAAATCCCCTCTTGTTGATAAACCTCCTTCAAAATCAGACTAAAAAAAAGAGCACACGAAACACCATTAGCAAGATTGGTGTGAGTAATTGCTGTTCTAAACTCCTCCTAGAGATGTGTGGCATAACCCACATCCAGACCATAATACAACCCGGAAATAACCGAATAAATCTCCAGTTTGGATTTGTCTAATCTTGAGCTTCGCCTTGTTAAGCATCTTAACACGATTCCAAAGAGAAAACTCCATATGTAAGGAAGACTCAACTTCTTAACTTGACCTATCCCAGTAAGAATTGGTTGATGCCTCCATTTCATTGAACATATGAAGTACTTGATCAGTAGAAACTTCATAGAAAGTACCTGATACAGGCAACTTCAGGATTTGGACAAAATGCTTCCTCATAAGCTTCCTTGTCCGTGAATTCGTCAATTTAAACGTGATGACCTTTGTTGTTTTGTTGAAAATAGCAGTGGAACCCGCAAGATAAATCCATGTCATTGGAACCGCAAATGAAAAAAAACAAGGCAGTGGATAGAACGGAGTTATTTAGGGTTTGAATAAGCATTGGTAGTTGCTCTGGATACTGATCAATCATTGGAACCAAACGAATATTGGTATTCCGGATCTTCATCATGGGTTGTGAAATTTCCTTTTCATTACTTGTAGTTGGATCAATAGTTGGGTGAGGAGTAGCCATTGCAGAGAATGCAGAATTGTTTGAAGATGATGAACAATTTACGGTTTGGGAAAATTTGATCTGAGAGCATAAAGCCTGAGAATGAAATCATCAGTTTCCTTTTATAATTGGTGGTATTTTTGAATTTGAACCGGTATCCAATAATACTCTACCACGTATTGTATTGGTTACTTGATCGGCACCACAAAAAGCTCCACGTCACAAAAGTGATCATCACGTTTTCCTTGAATCCTGCGAAATTCCTGAACCGGCATGTCCATCGAATCTTTCAATGTTCCCAATCAAATAAGAATCGTCACATTTTTCGAACTGGAACCAAGTACATGTAGTTGGTTCAACACCAAGATAACATCATTCCTTCGTCATGGAGGCAAGGCTCATTCACTTTTTGGATTTGAAAGCGTAATCATATGCCCGTCTTTGCAAAATCTAAGTTTCGAGTTGGTAGTACCCAAAACCTCAAGGATTTCAGTGCATTTTTGTGCCAAAGAATGAGAGAGAATCATGTTAAAAAAATGTGGATATTGTGATATCAAAATATTTTTGATACGAAAGCAGAATGATCCCAGGAAAAGATCTCTTCATTCCTCATCAAGAGATATGATGAATTGCTTGTGTGGTTTCCTGTGAATTACAATCGAATACTCATGGATGAGCATCGAAGGGCTTTTTTTCATTGGTTTCGAAAGGTAGGTTCAATTTTGTTCAGCACCACAACTTAACATAAGTGTGATTCAATTGCACAAAATTACTTAGATGACTAGTGTAGTCAAGAACAAGTATGGTT